GCTATACACTTATAATTATGCAATATACAAACATTTTAATTCGATTCAACTGTATGCAAAACAAATTATACAATTGCAGTGAAATAGGCCAGCGAATTATACAATTTAGGCCAGCGAATTATACAATTGTATATGTATAGCAAATTATACAGTTTTATATTTGCTATGAATCAAATTATGTAAAGTTTGTTATAGCATACATATATAAATTTTTTGCTTGCTATATGTGAAAGTTGCCCTATAATTATTCCGTGCATTATTATAACTATGGCTTCAATTCTTTTGTTTTTTTTTCCTTTTCTTTTTTTCTTTTTTCTTTTGTAGTTTTTCAACAGCATTGTTATAACAATATGTTTAATGTAGTTCAAAATGAGGTCCGAAAAAATGTACACATATTTTTTATCTTTATTTCATAAGTGGAGAGGTTGTTTAACTTCACCTCTAATCCAGGGTAAAGAGGTCAGCTAGAAGGAATTGCGATCACATTATCTTTAAAATGCAAATCTTATAACTTTATCCTATTAGAGTTTTTTTTGTGAAATTATTTGTCAGATATTTAATCATGTTTTATTGTGATTTTTTTAGAAAATTTTTTATTTTTAAAGTAAAAATGATAAGCCTTTGAAATTGGGGAAAAAATGATTTTTTTTAAAATGAAAATGCTTCCTTGATACCTAACAAAATCACGAGATTTTATTTCAATTTCCACATTACCGTTTAATATATGCAACAAAGTAAAGTTTTTGTTTTTATTTTTTAAAAATAACGGTAGATAATATATGCTACTTCTTAGCTATATCATATTAACACTATAAAAAGTTATAGCTACAAAAATGCATTGAGGAATGAGGATATTTCAAGAGCGGCTCGAGCATTTAGTGGCCTAAAACAAAAATTCAACGGGGCCTTAACTTAAATATCTTTTATACAATTGATTTCTTCTAGTTTTCAATTGATAATATAACCATTCCTATTTTAAATTATTTCTCATTAGATATAGTACTTCAAATATGTCAAATTTTCTCTAATAATTCCTTCATTTTTCATGAAAGTTTATTTTTTCTAAAAATAGTATTTAATATTAATTAAAAAATAATAACTTATAACCTATTTTTGTTAAAAATGAGGCCCCTTAAATTTGGAGGCCTAAGACACGTCTTTTTTTAAAAGATATTACCGTCCAATAGGTAACATAGAATATTAGGTTATTTCTTTGAATATATAATATTATACTTAGGTAAATCTGTATTATTTTACTAGATTATGTATAATTTTTCTTGATATGTATACATAAAAAATCATACCAAATACACCCCTTATACATATTTAATTGATTTCTTAATATACGATAGTAAATTTGAATTTTAAATTAACTTACTTGCTTTCTTTCATCCTTGTTTGTTAAGAATAAGTTACATCGAGATACTATAGCGTCATTATACTCATTATGAAACTTCTTGAGAAGGAATGACACAAAATACAACAACCTCTTATTATTCTATGAGCTTTTAGGTACACACTTTGGTAGTGGTAGCTTATTTAAAGGTGACTCATGTATATGTATTAAATTATACATAAGTAATATCATGTTTGATAGCTGATTAGAAGATAAATTATTTCTGTATAAAATTAATATGATGTTTGGCTTGTAAAACTTGTATACTTAATACATGTATATATAAATTATGACGAAATTTGTGTATTATTTTATACACAAGAGAGGTATAGAGTAATTGATATATGATAAATCCTCTGGGATGGCTTGGTGGTTTGGGCTTTGAGACTTCCATTTTGGAGGTCTCACATTTGAAACACCTTGCCGCGAAAGCTAAGAGTTTTCATTTTAGGTGTACCGGTAACTTATTTCCAATCTATTTACCATTTTATTTCTTTTCTTTCCTTTATCTTTTGTAGTTCTTCAACCACATTGTTATAACAATATGTCTAATGTAGTTCAAAATGAGGTCCGAAAAATGTATGTATATCTTATCTTAACATCATAGGTGGAGAGGTTGTTTAACTTCACCTAGAAGGAACTGACAACCAAATTATCTTTATAGTGCAAATCTCACAACTTTATCCTATCAGAGTTTCTTTCTGGAATTATTTATCAGAAGTTGGACAATATTTTATTGTGAGTTTGAATTTTTTTTATTGATTTTCAGAGTAAAAATGATAAAGAGTATTTGAAAATTGAAAAAAAACAATTATTTTTCATAATTGTAGATAATATATGGTAATTACTAGTTCCACTAACTCTATAAAAAGGGACAAAAACAAAAATGCATAGGGGGTCATTTACAAGCCATAAAACAAGTATCTCAAACTTGATTTATGAACAAACTTTGTAGATTTTAAATATATACCGTACAAAGGCAACATAGTATATTAGGTTGTGTATTCCAATATATAATATTATACATAGGTAAATTCATATTATTTTACTCCTATGTTCCTAATTACGTGTCTATTTTTTTTTAATTACTTGTCCATTTTAACAAATTAAGAAAGAATAATTTTTTTACCTATTATACCCTCAATTAATTATTTTAAATTGTAGAACTTTTTGAAAATCTTAATGTTTAATTCATTCACTTCATAATTAATAGGAGTAAAATGATAAACTCACTGTATAAATTATTATATTCTCAATAGGTGTGTCAATTAAAAAGTGGACAAGTAATTAGAGACATAAGAAGTACTAGATTACATATAATTTTTCAATCATACCAAACACACCCCTACTCATAAATAGAATTTGGGATAGGTGGGTGTACACGGTCCTTACTCCCGTGGTAGAGTGTATTAGGTAAAATAATGTGTGCATTAGTTTTGTGTAATACTAGTATCTTATTTGGTAGTCTTTTAAAACTTGCATTAGTTATACACTCTACTGCGTATTAAGGTGTGTATTGCTAATACAATGAATTTTATAGGTATTAGCAATGCAATGGTTTTAATGCATGCATCAGCACGAATAAAGATCAAATTGTCCCTCAAAACCTTCTTTACATTTTTTCTATCATAATAGTGGAGGATATCTTTGTAAATTATTTTTTTCATGCAATGCATGCTATTCTTTTATGCATCAAATCAAACAATGGATAAAAATAATCTATGTATAAGTAATGTCAGCATAATAACACATGTATTGTTAATGCAAGTATTACTATACACTCTATTTAACATTATTCTTATACACTCTACCAAACGATAAGAAAGACTACAAATATTGTTTCTGATAAGATCCTTAACTCGAAAAAAAACCTTGTTAAATGAAATTTCTATGAAAATCAGAGGAAACATCACGAAGATAGAATGTATTTCATTACCATTTTTTATATTATACAACTTACTAGTTGCTGCTGTAGTCAAATTAAATACATAACTATGCTATATATAAACTGTCTACCTTTGAAGAACATGGGTGGGCGTTTGGTCTAGTGGTATGATTCTCGCTTTGGGTGCGAGAGGTCCCGAGTTCAATTCTCGGAACGCCCCAAATTCATTTTTGTTTCTTTTACAGATCGCAATCAAAATTTTTTTTATCGGAATTTCTTTCTTTATATATAAATATAACTTATTGTGATTTATGATACATTTAATGATAGGTTTTACTTATATAAAAAAAAAATTGACAAAAAATGTAATGTTACATTAACAAGTCTTTGTGATATAACTTCAATTTTATTTTATTTTTAAAAAAATGTTAAGAGACCAAGAAGAAAATGCCGCAATGGAATAAGCGAGATTAGATCTTCTCTCAACAAACCAATAAAAAAAATGTTGCCTTTTTGTGGTACTCCTTTATTTCAATTATAGAACAAAAAGAGAAAGACTTAAAATTTTAAAGTCGGTTTAACCTCTTTCAATATTGCAATTTCACAATCAAAGTTTAAAACAACAATATATGACGATTCATATTGAAGATTCACAAAAGAATCTGCAATATTATTTCGTGCAAAACTTATTTATTTAAATCTTCGGTTAAATTTTCTGAATTAATAATCATATGCTACACACGTCGAAAAATAGTCTAACCTTCACATCAATTCAACAACAAACAATTACAACACTAATTGTAGAACCAAAAAATATTGACAAGTTAAGTTATTAGCAGCTTCCACCATTTAATAAACTTTATACAAATGAATGACTAAAGGCACACGAAAAAACATTTCAAAGCAATAAGGGCAGACCTAGATTAGAGTAAATAACATACATTATAGCAATAGAATGCAACAAGTAAAAAAAAATAACTATCAATACATTAGTTTTGATTCTAGCAAAACAATTCATGTATTCTTAAAACAATAACAAAGTTGATTGTTCACATGGAAAAAGTAGTTCGGACAAACCATAACAACTCATATTCTCTTTATAAAAAAAAACACAAGGGAGTTAGCTAGTCAATCTAACAACTATCTACCATATAGCAAAAAAAATTTATTACTTTCAATTTCTTACCAATCAGCCTTCTCGGGTTCCAAACGAACTACTTCAATAATCCTGAAGTGTTACCTTTGGGTCTGTATCAGCCAAGCCTATAAATAACATAATCACACAATATTATTAGGAAACCAAGCCAAAGAGAGGGAAAAATATAAGAGATATAAGTCCAAGATAAGTAGCTTAGCTTAGAAACTCCATCAAGAAATTCCTTTTTTTAAATCACATATACAAAAAAACAGTGGCACAATGACTCTATTGTTACTAAAATCAAGAAAATGTATTTATTTGAAACCCAAGATTGGATTTTTATCTTCTGTTTATCATCATCATACAAATATCACCAAATATAAGAACCCCATTTCGAATTCTTGGTTTGAATCAACCCCATTTTTCTTATTTTCTTTTTGACTCAACCAAAGCTCAAACACTGTTATAGTCACACTTCAAACAACCGATACAATATTTTATGAAGCACAAAGACAAGGACTATATTTTCATGCCAAGAGCAGTATCACCTGATTGAATTATTTCTTTGTTTAATGAGACTGAGGAATCTTTTGCAGATGACTACAACAATTGCAATTGAGGATGTAAGGAGAGAAGTCAAAATATTGCGCGCTTTAACAGGACATAGGAATCTGGTTCAATTCTATGATGCCTATGAGGACGAGGAAAATGTTTATATAGTCATGGAGTAAGTTGAAATTGTCAACCTTAATGCTGCTTTTAGTTGTGTTTCAGGGTAACTTGTCATTCTTCAGCATTCTGACATAAAAGAATTTGTCTTATTTGGTCTACGTCCTTCCAAATGTTTGCATGGCTTGTCGTATTATCATAAGAGAAATCTATTTAGTTTATCATTTTTGTCTTTTATGTTTTCTGCATTTGTTTGTACTTATCTTTGTGAGATCTTCTTCAAGTTATGTAAAGGAGGAGAATTGCTAGACCGGATACTTGCAAGGTGGGTACTTAAAATATTTTCAGCTTAGCATGCTTGGTATTCTCCTATGTGAATTTCCTTACTCCAGTTTCTTTTGAAGGGGTGGGAAATACTCGGAAGACGATGCCAAAGCTGTCATGGTACAACTTCTAAGCGTGGTCTCGTATTGTCATCTTCAACGGGTTGTTCATCGTGACCTAAAGCCTGAGGTAATGGAGTTATTTTTAATCTACATATAACACTCAAATATTCATTTGCAATGAACACTCTACTTATGTTTAGAACTTCTGAATGAACCTAAGGAATAGAGTCAAGTTTACTAGTTTGCACAAATTTTGTTGATGGATATTAAGAGCATGAATGCAAGAACAATAGCATGCTGCATGATTAATAACCTCAAGTATCAAAAGAAAACACTCAAGGCATCGTCATCATAGTAGTTATATGACTCTCAACTTAATAACTGATATGATTTTTAAAAAAAAACTTAATAACTGATATATAAATCATGTGCAACAAGTTCACAGTAGACGGAGTGAGTATTCGTGGATTTCCATTTTATAGGTGTAATTTCATTATGGATACCTAGGATCCTGCCCAACTAATTTGGTGATTAAAAGATCATTTATGAGTTATTTGGTAACATAATATCACATGATGAATTCTGACAACCCAATTACAATTTTGCATAAGCCCATGTAAAGTATTGAGAGAGTTAAATCAGCTCAACCAAATGAAAATGCTTACGGAGGTTTGTGTCTCGGACAGACCACTGAAGAAATTAGTTATGATCTGCATGTTTTCTTACGGTATCTAATATGAAATTTCCAGGGTTTCTTCTAATCCCACCATATATGTGAACAAATGTAGTGTCATTTCTTTCCTACGTCACTCTATGTTTTGTATGCTTGGTTTCCAAGCTCATTATATTGACAGATGTTCTTCTGTTCTATTCAGAATTTTCTTTTCGTTTCTAAGGATGAGAACTCTTAAAAGCCATTGACTTCGGTCTCTCTGATTATGTAAAACCAGGTAAATGTTAATGCATACAACATTTATCATTTCTTATTTTGTGCTTGTAGCATGCCATAGTTTGACTAACGGAAATATTTGCAGATGAAAGGCTTAATGATATTGTCGGAATTGCATTATGTGTCACAGTTTATGCTGGCAGTGACTCATAAGGGAAGATAACATTCAATCAAACAAGCAAAAGACATAGACAATATCAGAATCCGAATGTATTTCAAAGTAAAACGACAGTGATACTCAAGTTTAAACATCTGTTAATAATCAAAAACAAAATTGAAGATAACTAAGCCTTGATCCGAAACAAGTTGAGATCAGCAATATGAATACCAAAAAACAGAGGAGAGAACACAGGGTCACACAACTAAAATATTTACATCAAGCTTTGTAGTCAGTCAAAGGACAAGAGAGTTTTTCAAAAACGAACTAGCTTAAGCTATATCAGTCAACAAAAAGTGAAACAAATACCAGTAGGAAGTAATTTGGGAGTAATTTTTGTCCAGATTCACATCAAATGGGGAATATTAAGGAAGAATTCAGCTGGAACAAAAAAAATGCAGAGAGAAATACTTACAAATCCACAAACTTGGAGCATTAAATTTCGACTCTCTTATATATCACAGAATCAAACAGGGGAAGTTTATACACTAACTATATTGGAGCAAATAACATAGATTTAGTCTCATATATTATTCTTTAAGATTTTTCAAAATTAATTCAATGGGGACTTAGAAATCATGAACTAGCATAGAAAACTTAAACATTATTAACATTTAAGATGAATTCGTAGTCGAACCTAAAAAACATCACCAAAAAGAACGAGCTGGTTGTTTTCCTCGACGAGCTTCAGCAATAGCTTCACCACCTAGCTTCACCAACGAGCTTTAGCAATGAGCTTCAGCAACAGATTCACCTACGAGCTTCACTAACAACTTCACCAACGGCTTTTCACCAACGAGCTTCACTAACAGCTTCACCAACGATCTTCACCAACAAACTTCACCAACGAGCTTCACCAACAGCTTCACCAACAAATTTCATTTTTCTCACCAAAATCTTCAGAAATTCCTTTCACAGCTTCACCCAGAAAAAGGCTCTCTCACATTGTTTTTGAAAAATAAGGGTTTCTGAAAACAATTTCATTCTTTTTCTTTTACATTTTTTGAAAAGTTAATATATCAGAATTATTTTTTTAGGAGGGACTAATGTATCTTTGCCAAATTATATTGGAGGGAAATATATTTTTTTAGGAGGAAAAATTATTTAGGGCTAAAAAATCAGAATTATTTTTCTAAAAAATTGTTGCCATAGAGTTATCTATAGTGACGGTTTTAAAACTTGTTGCTATAAATTCTCTATAGGAACGGTTATAGGGATCATACAACAGTTTATTTTAAGAATTGTTCTATTAGATTCAAGGATATTTGGCCACGGTTATAACCGTTGTAATAGGTGAGCTATTGCTACGATGGTATAACCGTTGCTAAATAAGCGTTGCAGTAAGTCAAATTTCTAGTAGTGCTTCAATTCCTTTTTCATTATTTTTTTTTCTTTTCTTTTGCCTTTTGTATTTTCTTCAACCACCCTTTTACAACATGTCTAATGAAGTTTAAAATGAGTTTCGAAAAAATGAAATGCACACATATTTTATCTTTACCTCATAAGTGGTGAGGTTATTTAACTTCACTTCTAATCCAAGATAAAGAGGTCACCTAGAAGGAACTGGGGACCAAATTATCTTTGAAGTGCAAAATCTTACAACTTTATCCTATTAGAGTTTTTTGGTGAAATTATTTAACAAATGTTTGACCATTTTTTTTTTAAAAAAAATTGAAATAAATAAAAAAATTTCAAAGTAAAAATGATAAGAGTATTTGAAAATTGGAAAAAATGTTTTTTTTTAATTATTATTTTCATAATATTAAAGAATATATATTGATTCTTAGTTCCACTAACGCTATAAAAAGGGACAAAAACAAAAATATATTGGGGATCATTCACAAGACATAAAAGTGTTAGTCAAACTTAATTTATAAACAAAATTTTGAAAATTTTAAAAAATACCATCCAACGGGCAACATAGAATATTAGGCTATGCATTTCAATATATAATATTATACTTAGGTAACTTCATGTAATTTTACTCCCAATGTCTCTAATTACGTTTTTTTTAGTTGTCCCTAATTACTTTTTCATTTTGACAAATCAAGAAATGAAAGTTTTTTTTAGCATATTATATCCTCAATTAATTACTTTGAAAAATGTAGAACTTCTTAAAAATTAAATCTTAAGTTTTAAATTCATCAATTTCAAAATTGATAGGTGTAAAATGATAAATGCAATATATCAAATCGTATTCTTAATAGGTGTGTCAATTCAAAAGTGGACAAGTAATTCGGGATAGAGGGGATTACGTATAATCTTTCTCGATATATATATATATATATATTTCTTCATATATGTTTGAATATATAATGACGTAAAAAGTAAACACCCTCTAAAGGTGCAAATAGAAGGAAAAGTAAGAAGCACGTCAAGTGTGAACTCATAATGAAATTTGAGAAAGTAGGAATGTACGTAAATTTTATCATTACATTAAAAAAGATAAGATATTAATTTTAATTAGATTCTAGACTCCAAAAAGATACTCGTGAAATGGGGTTTTATTTTTTAAGCGTGGGGTTGATAAACGATTTATTATATGCACAGTCATATCAAAGGCATTTGTCCAAAATTTATGGGGACATTGGCATGATGAAGCAATGCTCGACCAGTTTCAACAATATGCCTATGTTTTCTTTCGATACAATCATTTTGTTCAGGGTATAGGGACAAAAGGAACGTTGTACAATTCCATTATCTCTCAAGTAAGACTGGTCAACGGACCGAAATCGATTTATTGAACCGGAACGAATCGATATCGGACCGGAACGGGACGCATTGACCGGTACCGGGATGAACCGGACCGGAATTACCGGGACAAATAATTGATTCCATCTCGTTCACCTATATACCGGGATGGAATCGGAACGAACCGAAATGGAACGGGACGGGATAAACGGGATGACATTTTTTGTGATTATGAAAATATAAGTATCTTTTTTTATTTTTCTAAGTTTAAATTAATAGTTTTTAAATTTATACTATAATTTTTTACTTGAGTTTATTTTAAAGATATTTTAAAACTTTTTTTTGTTATTAAGTTTGCAAGTAAAGTCTAATAAAGTTTTCTAAATTTAAATCTTTTGAAGGTTATACTTTATAAGTTATTACTTATTATTCATTAATATTTATTTTATAAGTTATATTTATAACTTGTGTCTTGTAAATTATAAATAAATAAAATTTGTAATTTTGAAAAAATTAAATTAAAATAAGGATAAAACAATAACAAAAATTAAAAAATATCAATTTAATTTATTTAAATTTGTAACAAATTACAATTTCAATTTACAACTATTAGTAGAGTATATAGTTTGAGCAGCCATCTTCTAGGAAGGGTTCTGTTTCAACTAAGTCTCGAATATAATACTAATAGTTGTATAGTCCCGTAAATCCTCTTTCTAACTCAACTATAGATTGATTGTAATCAATTTTTGGTCTTGGTAAAGCTCGTTGACGATCTTGAAGTTCTATGTCATCATCTCTACCACATCCAATAGCTGAATCTATGAAAAGTTCAAATTGACTATCTAACTTTAGAAGTCCTTGATTTCTACGATCAGCACTTATCTAGTCTCTAAATAACACTGATATCTCCAAGTTGTCTTCTGATAACGAATATTTGTGGTCTCCAATTTAAAATCTTGTCGCGCTGAAAGTTGCCTCCGAAGCTACAGATGATCCTTGAATTATAAGCACATCCTTCACCATCCTACTAAGTTTTGGAAATTGAGTTCCACGATTCCTCCACCAGTTCAATAGTTGCGTTATACCTTCATCATTTGTAACATCATCCGAACTCTGTTCAAGATATTTAACAAATTCATATTTACTCGAAGAGTCAAGACCAAGTTTATGTTTCACTCGTCCATGAGCACCTACTTGATTCATAGACGTTTGAGGATTTTTAACATTATCTAAGAAAGAATATTTATCATACATTTCTTTAGCAAATAATTTTATACTATTTTGAATGTTACCAAATCAGATTCTTCTTCAGGTTGAATATCTAAATTCTGATAAATGCATTCAACTAAAACTTTTGCACCATATTCTTTATATTCGGGGTTGAAAAGAATTGCAGTTAAATAAATTTGAGGGATAGGAAAAAAATATTTCTTAAATTTTATCATAACTTCAATAGCAGTGGTAAATAAAGTATTTGTTTTATATTCAGAAAAGATAGACGAAATCTCACATATGTGTATTAAAATTTCAAAAATAGTAGGATAATATATTCTAGAAAATTTTTTAGTAGCATCATAAAATGATTTCAAAAATATTCTAAGTTCATTTACTTATCCCAATCACTATCAATTAAGTTTTAATTCAGGATAAGCATTATGATTATTAAATTGATTAATTCTACTATTACTATTCATATGAAAAATGTAAAAACAAGCATTATCAATTTTATCACAATTATTTTCAAATAATTTCACACTGTCACTAACAACCAAATTTAATATATGCGCGACACATCTAACATGAAAAACATATTTACTAATGGGACAAAGTCTAGGTTCTAGCATATTAATAACATTTAAATTAGCAGAAGCATTATCTAAGGTAATACTAACGACTTTATAACAAAGACCGAAAAAATTTAAAATTTTCAACACAGTAGTAGCAATATAAATTCTGATTTTTTTCTTTTGACAAATTTTATAAGCAATAATTTTTTTTTGTAAATTCCAATTATAATTTATCCAATGCTTCAGTAACAGTTAAATAATCAAAACCATTAGGACTACGACCCATATCAATAGTAATAGCAACTCTACAATCCATTAGTTCAAAATAGGCACGTAAATATTGATAATATTTTTCTTGAGATTCAAAAATATCTCTTTTTACCATGCTTCTTGATAAACCTTTATAACTAGGATTATATGTTTCACGAATATATGCAATAATAACCGAATGTTCTCCAAAACTAAAAGGTAAACCACCAACAACAACCATTTTAGCAAAGTTTTCACGATCATGATCCTTGTTATAGGTTCGATGTTAGGTTCGAAGTATTTAATTCACTTTGAACCATATTTGATCCTCTAGCCGATGCTTCAACACTACAATTTTCACCAACTTCAAGAGAAGACACATATGCAAACCACTCTTGACTATGCTTGTTGATCAAATGTTTTTTTAGTCCCCCGTTGAACCTCCAGTCCCACCAGCTGTATATTTAAAATGTTGTTTACAACTATTACATATACTAAAAGTTTTTTCTTCATTCAAATAACAAAATTTTCACACATGTGATTTTAAAGAACGTTGTACCTTGGTCTTACCTCTAGTTGGAATAATAGGAGGACGAGTAGTTCCAACCGGAGATGGAGCTTCAGTACCTATAGTATTGAGGTCGGGGCTAGTCGGTGTATCATCTAAATCTACTTCTTCAGCTAAATTTAATTGTTCATCTATTTTCACTTCTTCATTTTCTTAATTAATACCATAATGTCTTTCATAGAGTTCATGGGGAATCATATGAGTATCCGAATTAATATTTATAGGATCGGGACGGAAAAAACTAGTTTTATTCACATGCATAAATTCATCTGTATTCATTCTAACAAGAGGAATTTTAGATTTAGAAGAACTAGCACCTTTATTAGTTTTTTTAACTAATTTTTTTACTAATTCTACTAGACCTTTTTTACTTCCACTTTTTTTAGAAGACTCGATGATATAAAATTATAAACTAAAAAATACGAAACTTAACAAGAACAATAATATAATAAGAAGAACTTACAAGTTACAAATAATAAATACAAAAAATATAAGATTAGAGAGTGGAACGAAGTTACCAAACATTTGTGTAAGAACAAACGATTATAATGAAAATTAAAATATTGATGTCGAAACTTGAAATTTGAAGAAGATGTTTCCTCCGAAATACACCAAATGACCAAATCACCAAATGATATTAAGAATTTAGAACTTGAATTGAATATTGAAAATCTGAAATTTTATAATTTATAATCCGTAATCGCTAAAACTTAGAAATATGAATGGAAGTATATATTTTCTCAAACTTATGTATGTATATATAGTTTTTAGAAATCAATTCTGATTTATAAAACAAAAAAAGTAGTTGTTTTATTTTTTTCATTTTAAAACGACTGTTGGGAAAAGAAAAAGGAAAATGGGAATGTCGAATGGGGGGTTGGAGAGGGGGGCTGCAGCTTTATTAAAAGCTGCAGGGGCAGGTGGTCACGCGCTCAGGGCGCAGGGCAGCTTTTAATAAAGCTGTCGCCTGCCAAGTGTCAGACTTTCTTGTCCCGTCCCGTATGCAATCAAAACGGGATGAACCAGAACGAACCAAAATGGTACCGGTACGTCTCGTTCCGTCGCCCAGTCTTACTCTTAAGTAATTTGTTAATGCTTTATATTCTCCTCCCCAATCTGCTTGAAAACTTTTAATGGGACAACCAAAATACTTATCAACAATTGTACAAAATTGCCTAAATATTGAAAGGACTTCAGATTTAAAACGAAGAAAATAAATTCATGTATATTTGCAAAAGTGATCAAAGAAAATCACATAATATCGATATCCCTCATTAAACACAACTGGAGCAGGACCTCAAACATCTGAACAAATTAAATCTAAAGGTCCGGAGGCTTGAAAACTAGACTCACAAATAGAAACTTTATGACTTTTACTAACAACATATGTAGAACGTAAACTATAAGACTTAGAAGAAGGGACAATAACGCTAGACGACAATGCTTGACGAACAGTAGGAAAGGATGTATGAGCCAATCGAGCATGCCAAACCCCCAAGGATGCAGCATATGAAGCAGGTGCAAATGACTTTAACACAAGAAGAGAATATAATCCTTCTTCACTCGGGCCTTTGTGCAGTATGTCCCTCGACGCCCAAGTCCTTAAATAAAAAATGGTAAGAAAAAAATTCAATTGAAACTTGGTTAGACTTAGCAAAAGAACTAATAGACAATAAATTTTGAGCAGCGGTTAGAACATGGAGGATGTCATTGAGATTAAATTTGTTTCCAGAAACAACAACTGAGCTTTTACCAATATGAGAAATAGGAATTTTGGAACCATTACCTGTAGTAACTTCCTCAGGACCTTGATACTCAGAATGGATACCCAAGTTATCAAGATCAGCCGTAAGAAGATGTGTGGTGCCACTATCCATTAACCAATTTTGTGGAGGAGTTCTTGCTAAATTAGAAACAGGGTGTCCAGAAACTCTATTGCCATTGTTATTCCTAAAAGATGGACACACACGTGCAATATGACCTTTACCTTCACAGTTATGACAAATAATTCCAGACATATATGAAACTTGAGATGGTGTAGAATTGGTTTGAGTTGAGTTATGAAACCCATGATTTTGAGATGGCTGGAATCGTTGATTTGAGGAGCGCCCATGACCTCGACCTTTTCGACCTCTACCACGTCCATATATAGTAGCAAAAGAACTCTGACTATATTGTGCACTAGGGGCAATGATAGTAGGGGCTTCATCTCTTTTTAGCTGTCGTTCTTCATTCAACAAGAGTCCATACAATGCATCAAAGGTTATCTCCTCTTGACGCGATTCAAGTGACCTGGTAAAAGAACGATAGGAAGGTCCTAATCCGACAAGGACAAATTCAACCAAATCATCATTGGGAAATGGATGTTGCAGTGCAGGCAACTTATCTGCTATTCCCTTTGCCTTTTGTACATATGACTCAATATTGGCATTGTCACGATGTAGAGTGTGCAATTGCGATTTGAGTTCACGAATGTAAGGCCTTGATCCTGAAGCATATGCAGCAACAAGTAAAAATATAAATGAAGTAAAAATATGTTTCCTCTATAGGTGCTAATAAAAGGAATAGTAATAAGCACATCGAGCGTGAACTCATAAATGGAATTTGGGATAGGTGGGATGTACCCAACCCTTACCCCTCCTCGACTAAAAAAAACATACTTGTTAAATGAAATTTCATGTGAGGAATTTCATTACCATTTTTTATATTATACAACTTGCTAGTTGGTGTCAAATTAAATACATAATTATTGCTATATATAAAACGTCTACCATTGAAGAACATAGGTGGGCGTTTGGTCTAGTGGTATGATTCTCGCTTTGGGTGCGAGAGGTCCCGAGTTCGATTCTCGGAACGCCCCAAAATTATTTTTTTGTCATTTTCCATTTACTTTTGCGGAACGCAATTAAAATTTTTTTGATCGGAATTTCTTTACGTATTTTAGGTATAAGTTGTTGTGATTTATGATACTTTTTATAATAATTTTTACATATATAGCTTGTTATAACAAGTTTTTTGAAATAACTCTATTAAAAAAGAAGTTAATAAACCTTTCAAGAAGAAAATGCGGCAATAAGCAAGACTAAATTATCACTCGTCAAACCAATAGAGAAAAAAAATTGCCTTTCTCCGATACTCTTTTTTTTCAATTATAGGACAAAAAGAGAAAGACAGTTGAAACTTTTAAAATCGAATTTAACCTCTTTCGATATCACAATTCACCATCAAAGTTTAAATTTTAGAATTAATTAAAACACTCGATATTATTTTTTTCGTGCCTTAATTTTTAATCAAATTTATTAAGTACATATGTAGTAAAAAATAAATAAATATTTCCCTCCAAAAAGTTGCCGCTTAACTTTTTGTCTTCTCCATTTCTCCTCGAAAAAAAACCCAAATTCGCCATTAACAAAAACTCACAGTTCTACAGTTTACACTGTATCGGCGATTCCATAATCCTCAAGTGGAATCCATATCAATGATTTCAACTGGTTTTCTGTAATCGCATATTATTCAGGTGATTAATTCTCGCTTCTATATAACTGTATATGTATCGCCGAAACTGTCAATTACTGCCTTTAATTTCTTCAATGGATTGTGTTTTTCATTAGGCATGGTCTTGTTGTTGTTGTTGATGATGATGATGATCGTGAACAGGGACGGATAATTAGGATTTGGAATTTATGAGTTCTAAAATTCTAGGATAGTGATAACTGATATTCGGGTATTAGTAAGTGAGTAAGTTTTAAGTTTAATTTTGTAATACGATTACAGGTTTTGAACTGAAACTATTAGGTTACGCTGAACCTGTACGTTAGGCTTCTAGCTCTGCCTCTAAACTCATGATGAAGATAAATGTCTCCTGGTGAAATAGTTAAGAGTTTTAAGATGATCAAATGTGTATATGTTTGTGTGGATTTTGTAGGAGAGGTTAATAAAATTAGATTTTGGTTGAGGTTGATCGAAACATATTGCTCCTTGAATGTACATTTTTGTTTGTGTGTTTGCTATTTTTGTTGTTGATTTTGCAGGAAGAATTAACAAAATTAGGTTTTGGTTGAGGTTGATCAAACATATTACTCCTTGAATGAACATTGTATTGTTTGGGCATACAATGATTATACAGTAATATGCAGATTCGAGATTGTTAATTGATTGTGACACATTTGCTTCTGATTATCCTGATGTTGTTGTTGATGACGATCGTGAATTCGTGATGAAGATGAATGTCTCCTAGTAAAACAGTTGAAGTTTCAACATGTTTGTGTATTTTGCTATTTCTGTGGTTGAATTTACAGGAAAATTACAAAATTAGATTTTGGTTGAGGTTGATCAAAACACATTGCTCCTTGAACATTTTTCTTTGTATATGTGTTATTTTTGTTGTTGATTTTGCAGGAATTAGCAAAATTAGATTTTGGTTGAGGTTGATTGAAACACATTGTTCCTTGAATGTAGATTTTTGTTTGTGTGTTTGCTATTTTTGTTGATTTGCAGGATGAGATAATGAAGTTAGATTGAGGTTGAGGTTGATCAAACACATTGCTGCTTGAATGAACTTCTATTTTTTTTCGGGGGCATACCATGATTATTCAATAAAATGGGGATTCAAGATTATTCATTGCTTGTGATGGATTTTTCTTCTGATTATCCTGGTGTTGTTGCTGCTGATGATCTGTTGAAAATGGAGTCTCCTAGTAAAATAGTTGAAATTTCAACTTGATAGTATGTGTATTTACTAATTCTGCTGTTGATTTTGCAGGAAAAGTTAACAAAATTAGATTTTGGTTGAGGTTGGTCAAAGGCATTGCTCCCTGAATGATAGGCTAGGGATTTCAAATGGGTTGGCTATGAGCTATTAAGGTATTAATTCTCTCTAGATTATTAATTTAACTGCAAATTACGAAATCTATGAATAAGGTTTAAGGTGAGGAATTATGGATATATTCCTCAAATCTCTGTATCTTTGCTTGTTCTCACAGCCCACACACTCCCTATAAAAAAACAAGTAGATTCAGCTAGTGTACGCTAATTAAGAAGCAACGACCTCTCATTTTTTTGATTGTTGCAGTAGGTTATATGAGTTCTATACATTTTAACATACAATCTGCTAGATTTAGGTCATTTTATCAGAGAATACCGTACATGATTTTGTGATGAGAGAGCAAAATGAATGCAATGATTAGTGAGTATATAGCCTACTCCAACGTGCTTGGTGTTGATGGGTAGTTGTTGTTTTTGTATAATTGTTATCAGAGAGCAAGTTAAAAACGGACAGAATCAGAGTAGAATGGAAGCTAAGAATGCATACACACTTCCCTTTTATGATACTTTTAACATTGAGAGTCCTTCAAATGGAGTGGACAACCTTGATTTTCCTACAATGATCTTGGATGTCCCTGATTGTGTTGAAAATGAGGTCAGTCATATTGCAAATGAATGTGAGGAAGAGGTTGTCCTTGACAGTGATGATGAAAGAATGCATGGTACTGAAGTCGCAAGTGTCTCAAAGTTGAGATCCTCTGATGATACAAGGTATAAACAGCAGCTGGGTGAGTGGAAACTCTCACCGGTTCCTAAACAAACCTATGTGGGTAAGCATTTGTTTTACAAGCATGACCTTTCACTCAATATCATTCTTATAATCATCAAACTGATGATGTATGATTTTATGCTCATTTGTCCATTTGTAATCCTACTCTGTGTCTAAAAACTTTCTAGCTCAAAGTACTCCTGAATGCACTAGATAAATACTCTAGAAGCTGCAACATTTTGAAGGAGGATGACTTGTTGTACAGGTTTATGTGCATCAGTGCCATTGGAAAAGTTGTTGTTGGGCTGTGTAAATTGTGAATGGACTCATATTTTATTGTTGAATAGCACACTCTCTGATTTATCATTCCTCACCTATGACTGAATACCGTCTTATTCTCACAATTATGGAAGATAACCAGTTGTGTTTTTAGATCAAAAGCAAAAAGTGTATAGAAACTAGGAAGCCTTTATGACAGAAGCTAATAAACTAATGACTTGTCCGTCATGTACGGCATAGTTCAATTTTCAGCTTGACTTGAGTAAAAGTATCTGAAGTGTAGGTGTTTAAGTTGATCAATAGCTATCAACATAATCTTGACTTGAGTATTTCTACGTCTATTTGGAAAAACCCTCTTAATCCGAATCTTTATGGCTTCCTTGATCTTCATAGCATCTTTCAATGCACATTTCATTAATTATTTTCAATTGTGTATCTCCTATTTTAATTGCACCTTGAATCTTGTCTATGTTTTTATTAGGATGTCTACGGAGGTCAAAGAATCTATTTAAGTTTTTGGATTCAGCCAGAAGCACCTCAGATTTTGAGAAAACTGATCAACAGAAACAGTGTTCTGAGATTAATGGCAGACTATCTCTACAAATAGATAAGAGCAGTGTTAATGCAAAACCAAGAGTTGAAGAGGATTGGTGTCAGGCTGGTGAATTAACCAATGAAGAAATCTACAAGGGAAATTTGGAAACGGAAGGCTCAACTGTTTATGGTGTGAATGGAGATAAAGATTTTCCACTTCATTCTTGTAAAATAGAACTACCCAAGTTAAACAAAACTGAATCTCAAGTATCTGGAGAGCTGTCAGAAGCTAATGCTCTGGACTTTGTTGACCACTACCTATCAGTTTACAATGAGGATGCACTCAATGAAGTCAAAGATAGAGGAGTGAATAAGATTGTATCACCTCCATTTTTCAGCCGTGTGGGATCGCAAAAATTGGCAAGCAGAATGAACGTTCAAAATGCAGTAAAAAACTCTGGAGTTTTTGACTGGCCTGAGAGGCAAAGTGATAGTGCAAATGGTTCTTTTTCAAGACACCGAAAGATATTGACCTATCACAGAAAGAATTACGGACTGAAGAAACAAAAAGTATCTTGTATTCAATCCAGTAAGGAACCAATGGAAAGTAGGACAGATTTAAATAAGGCGGAACCAAAGTTTCTCCCGGAAGCTCACATGAATGTTGAGTCCAACTTCCTGAGGAAGTCGGATGAGCAATTTGATATGGGTACATTTGAGCAACAAGTTGATTATGACGGAAATCGATCAGATGGATTAGACACATACGATGTTGGCCTTGATACTCAACTGGCTGCTGAAGCTATGGAAACTCTACTACACGCTCCTCCTTTGAAAAGTGATCTGCTTTTGGCCCCTCCTATTCCAAAAACCAGCCTAGTTAAAGAAAGGAAATATCCTGAGATCGCTATCTCAAGAGAGTTTAACATTGGTGATAGTTCACCAGAACCTACTTTATGTAGCTCAACTGAAGTAGAGTTGTCTTCTGTTGTTCATAGAACTAGGCATCAAGCATCTTTAAACTTGAGGAGGTTGGAGAACCCAGCAACCAATTCCATCAGAGAGTCTAATTTTCCAAAGAAAAGAAGGAAGCAACATGAGCTTGAAGAGTTAAATGACAATTTGTTCAAAGTGGCTACTGTAAGAGGGAAAGTTTCCAAATCAAGTACTAACACATCAAGGAAATCTAGAAAAGTTAGCATGAATAATCGAGGAGAAATTTGCCTTAGTGTAGCAGCCACATTGAGTCAAGTGAAATTGGAAAATTGGGTCTCTAAGGGGAAAAGGACACATAAAGGGGTGCGACGGATTTCAAATGGATCAAGCAATCTCTATCCTCTACTGATGCCTGCTGATCAGGGAAATGACTTTAAGTTTCCAGTTTTGAATCATAAGGCAGAGAGAAAATGCCAACCTGTGGAATTTAAAAGTCAGAATCAGTCTTTACAAAAGACCCAGTCAGGACTCTTGTCAATTCAGACCGCAAGTACTAATGTTTTGACAAAAGAGATGAAATCTGACGTACTTTTAAATGGAATCTCAGATCCATCATACTGTCTTAATGATCATAAGAAAGGCAAGCAACACATGAGAAGTCTCTCCAGATCACCCCTTTCTCAAGAGCTTATTAGATTAGGTTATGCAGAGCAATTACCTGATTTTCTGCCTAGAGGTTCACGACGACGAAAAGGTGCAGGCGACATTTGTGTCTTGTTCAGCCAGGGCTTGGATAGCAAATTAATCAAGCAGCAGAAAAAGGTACTGTTCTCCATTATCTGAGATATCTTCAACTTTAAATTGAACAAGTGTTGGACAATGATTTACGGTTTTCCTAATTTCCCTTGAATGCAGATTTTGGCAAGACTCGGATTTATTTCCACATCAAATTGTTCTGATGCCACACACTTCGTCACTGACAGCTTTGTTAGAACAAAGAATATGCTAGAAGCCATTGCCTGTGGAAAACCAATTGTAACACATTTGTGGCTTGAGAGCTGTGGAAGAGCAAGCTGTTTTGTTGATGAGAAAAGTTATATCTTAAGAGATGCCAAAAAGGAAAAGGAACTCGGTTTTAGTATGCCTGTTTCACTTGCTCATGCTAGAAAGCATCCCCTTCTAGAGGTATGCGTGTATAATTGAGTAACCACCTAATCCAAAAGCTTAAGTTGCTTGAGAGCGTACACTTTTAGTTACTTAAAGAGGAATATTCAGCCTATCATAAAGTTCATTTTTTTCGTCTGAATTAACAGGGTCAAAGAGTCATTATTACTCCAAATGCAAAACCTAATAGAGATACCCTTCTAACCTTGGTCAAGGCAGTGCGTGGTGAGGTACACACAACCATGGCATTGATTTGACTTTTTTGATGCTGTTTTAGTTTCTACTCTTGATGTCTGACTGATGTGCATTGCAAAAAAATCAACCAAGTTTGTAAATTGCTGTTTTCAATGTATTATTGAAATATGACAAATTGATTTCTGTTAAGGATCTTTCATTTCCTTTTTGATCTTATCAGGTGGTGGACGAATGTAATAGTAAAATCACTAGTGATGATCTATTAATTCTTTCCTGTGAAGAAGATTACAAAGCATGCATTCCATATCTGGAAAAAGGTATGATTTCATTTCTTTCTTTTTTGTCCTTCTGGTAATTGCTTTCTTGTGACTAATGCCAACAAGTATCACTATTCTAGGAACTCTTGTTTATAGTTCGGAGCTCTTGCTTAATGGGATTGTTATCCAGAAACTGGAGTACAATAGGTATGTATTTCTATAAGAAGACGACACTGTCCATCTGTTTTCTCTTTAATGCCAAAATTACTATAGTGTTCGGTGTTCTTCTATTATGGGCAGCAATATTTTGCATAACCAGAGGATTTAGTGAAATCCCATGAAAAAATTGGCCCTTCTAATATATCTGCATGAAATGCAAACTTGCTTTCTATGTGCTAATTAATTGATATATTGGAATTCTTCACGTTGAGCAATTGGTCATGCCATGAAAGCTGTTGTAGACATCTACTTTTGAGAAAACTTGCACAAATCCATCACTTTGTGGCTGCTGTTTAAGAATTGTGCAAAAATGGCCTCACTGCTACTACACAGGCACGCCCTACAATCTTACAAGACCTATGAGCAATTTAACAAAATAGGAGAATGAAGATTGTACTAAAGTTATGACGCCCTTATCCTACAATATTGTTCGGGAATGAAATGATCCTATTTATGTGAACCAAGCTATAGTTAAAATGATTGTACATTTGGATGCCGTTGTTCTAGGATCATTTTGAGTCATCTGCTTTTTATTTGGCTTTTTGTACTATCTATATGAGAATGCTAACTGGTTGAGTTCCATTATTGTTGTTTCAAATACAGGCATCAGCTTTTCACAAAGTTTCATGACGAAAACTGTAAAGAATGAAAATCTCTCCAGCTTTTTCACGAAGAAAGCTTCGTGCCCAACTGCTTGTGGATCGGTTTAAAATTGCTACTAGTCCAAGTAACAGATGATGATATCATTGTGTTACTAGATACTCGAAAGTTTAGCTGGACAGAGGTATTGTATCATATTGGTATAGTAACTAATTTTTCATAGTTTGTCCAGAAAAGGTTCTGTTATCTATTCCCATGTAAATTCACTTCGTTTGCTAATTTTTGAACAAATATAAATTCTCAATTTTCTTTTTTGTTTTGGATTCGTTGAGAAAACAGCTATGGAATATTTTACTGAGGAAATTACCCAACTCACAACATCCCAGAATAAGAAGATATCCTCTCTTTTGTAGGATTTAATAATTAAAAAAAAAACAATTTAAGTTATTTTTACTGATGGTGTAAATAATTTATAACAATATCAATGCATTTTAACTTTTTATAAAAGGTTGCTTTATCTTTCTAAAACATTTGTATAGAGGATTACATATATTTATCTTTTAAAAAATTTATTAGTTTATCATAGAATTTATATACACTTTTATAAAAACAAGAAAATTAGCCCAATTAAGCTCTATTCGTGTTATTTTCAGGTCTTTTTATGAAGTAGTGATTTGTGTCACTAATAGTAAAATGAAAATATTGAAACTGAAACTAACTATATGTCATTCTTTTAAGATATATTTTTTTTTTCAAAATAAGATACATACATTGAAACGAAAGTAGTATATAATAGTACTATACATTTTTATTTTTATTTTATTTTATTTTGTAAAAAAAAGAGATTTTAAACTATATATTAGTCTAACATATTCCACAACAACAATCATCCTAATTTGTATTTTGTAAAAAAATTTAGTCTATATATAAGTACTGATTAATACATTGAACATGCATCAATAATAACTATATATATTATTACTTAAATACACAACTTAATTTTACCATATTTAAAAAAAAAAATTTGGACGTTGAGTGATGTATTCGAAATCAAAATGCGATGGATTGGAACATTAAGTGATGTATCGGGACAATTTGGTATGTAATTGAATTTCACCTAATTTATAAGGTTCTTGTAATTTAAAAAAGAGTAAGAATAAATAATATCTAATTAGCTCTTAAATTTGGATAAAATTCCATTTATTTAGGGAGAATCCTTAGAAAGCCCATAAATAAAAGATGGATTGTTCAAAATTCAGAAGCCCAATTCATTTATAGTCTCGGCCTGCTCCATTTTTCTCTCTCTTATCCCTCAACAAAGTCGATTGCAACAACAATCGGACTCTCTCGGTTACATACTGGCTCCTCTCCGGCGATTATCCCCGGCGATCTCTGAATTTATAGCGTGTAAGTTTATTAGTTTTCTCTAACTGAATTTCCAATTTTTATACATAAAACAAAACCTAATTCGCTTTCGGATGGATTGATATTAGTATATTACTAATAATTTCGGATTTAAGTTAAATTCTCGTTGTATTTGCTCCAATTGCATTAGTGAAGTATCAATTCTGTATTTCGATTTCGCTGAGCAGAATTTGCTTTTCCTGTGATAAAAGTGTCAATGCCGGATTTTGATTTCGCATTCAACATCTCTAATAAAAGAACCTGAATTGAATAGCTTGTTGGCCAGAGTTATCTGTGGCCTGTGGGAGGTGTGAGGTGTCTGTGAATTAGTTTCAGGTGGGGGAAAGTTTGCACCAACACCACTGCTATTAAAAAAATTGAAAATTGAGTAGCTTGGTATAAAGGATTACCTGATAGGCTGATACCTATGGCTGGTGTTGTGTGAGATAGAAGGTACGGGAAATCTGAAAAATCTGAATTGAGCTATGTACTCGGTCTCTTCAAAAATGTTGGATCAGTGTTTTGAAAAGCGAGATCAATTGAGGGATAAGGGAAGTTGTTGCAATCGACTTTGTTGAGGGATAAGCAAAAAAGAAGTGTAACTTAGTAACAAAACAACAAATAAACTAAGTAAAAAAATAAAGATTGTTAGGTGCAGTTAGGTGCAGCAACCAGCATAGAAATAGAAAAAAAAAGAAAAAGAGCAGCAATAGAAATTGAAAAAAACAGAGCAACAATAGAAATATAGAGAAAAAACACAGCAGCAACCAGAAATAGAAATAAAAACAGTCAACAGATGCAGCAACCAAAGAGAAGAAAGAGAGACCTACCTTACAGCAGTCGCAGCCTCGCAGCAGTCCAAAGGGAATATTTTGAAGTCGCAAAAAGAAATATAGTGAAGTAGCAAAAGTATATTCAGAAATTTAAAATAGAAGGCTTACAGATTTTTCTAAGGAAACCCTAATTAGCGCCTTTTAAGTTAAGCGCGCTTTTCTCGCTTTTTCTTTACTTGCGCTTCTGGCTTCAACTGTTGAAGCGATTGCTTTTGATCGTCGCTTTGCTTCAGGAAAGAAAAGCTAAGTAGGTGAGCTGCGCCTTGCTTTGCGCTTAAAGCATGCTTTTGATAACACTGTTGGATCCTCCAAAAACAGTGATCTGGCATGGTGTGGCAACATCTTTGGAGAGTCCGAGCAACTTAGGAATTGAGTAGCTTGGTGGATGGAGTTATGTGATACCTATTGATGGTGGGGTGACAGGTATCCTGTGGAATTAGTTTGAGGTGCGCAATAGCTGGCCACTCCACGGTTATTTAAAAAAATGAGTCTGAATTGAAGGGAATGGATACATATGATTCATAAATCAGATTTTAATCAGTTCAGGATTGAAGTGCAGTTGATCGATGATTTGCTTTCCCTGTGGTGATGACCTTAAACTCCTCAGGACCCCCCTTTGTGCCTTTTGAATTCTTCCATAGGCATTTGGATTTCCTTGTTACTTTTTATCTCATATAAAGGTTGCAGGACACATGTTGAAAGAATACTAAAGCCTATGAATCATTGCTTCTTGACTTTTGTATTTTTCAAACCTGTTTTTAAAAAAACGTTTTTATTAAACCGAGGGTCTATCGGAACAACATCTCTATCCTATAAAGGAAGTAGTATGGTTTGCCTACACACCGCCCTCCCCAGACCCCACTTGTGGGGTGGGATTAGACTGGTTGATTGTTGTTTCTTATGGATAATTGAATATGGGAAACCCCGTAACCTATGCATAGTGGTTATTGACACACAGTTAGGGATCGTTTGATCTAAAGATAATTTTATGCAGGGAATTAGGGATCAAATTGATATTTGCAGGAGAAGGAAAAAAGAGTAGTATGCTAATACAGCGACAGGAGGGGATTATTGTTTGAACAAAAATCCTAAAGAAATTTCTTCTCAAAAAAAAATCCTAAAGAAATTTCCTTCTCAAATTTTATGGCCTTGTGATTTGACAGTACGTCTTGATTGACACCAACTTATAGTTAGCAATACATGAATGTTGTTTCCTATTAGTGAATTTCTCTTTCTGCTGCTTGTACTCATGCATAAGGGGAAGGAAATTTGGATGACTCTATAACTGAAACAGATGTGCTACCCAACATGTAACCTCTCCTATTCCTATTCGTAGTTTCCGGTAGATTGGGAGAAATTGATTGTTTTTCTGAATTTGACAGGAAGAAATTCCATGGCTCCAAAAAAGAACAAGAAACTGACCAATACTATGGCTCCAAAAAAGAAAAAGAAACAGAGCAATAACGCTGCTGAATCTAGTTCTAAAAGTACAGTTGCTGAAAAAAAAAATCCTCAAGCACTGAAGGGTAAACATAAGCTTGTAAAAAAATTCTCTCATGTAAACTCTGCACAAATCAAAGAAGCTAAGATTAGTTCACAAATGCGAGCCAGAAACAAACACAAGAAGGCAAAAAATGGCAACAAAGGAAATCATGTTGGTGAAAAAGATGCAAGTGAGTCTGAAAATATCAATAAAGGAAACAATGAACTGGACACGAGTGAAAGATGTGGAGAGATGACTAAGTATGAAAAAACTCAAAAGAGCCTTGATCTAAATGAAGGACGGGGAGAGGTAAATAAGGATGCAAAAACTTTGAATAGTCTTGGTGGAGTAATTTTCATGTGCAATGCGAGAACGAAAGAAGATTGTTTCAGATATCGTGTGATGGGTGTTTCTGCAAGCAAACAACACTTTGTGATGGGAATCAAACCTGGTCTTAAGCTTTTCCTCTTTGATTTCGATCTTAAGCTCATGTATGGTGTCTATGAGGCATCTTCTGCTGGTGGAATGAGACTTCAACCAGCGGCATTCGGTGGGGCATTCCCTGCTCAGGTCAAATATGCTTTTCTTATTGATGAATTTCATCTTCTTCCTATCTGTGAGGTGTTTTTATTGATGGTTGGTCATCCAACAGGTTCCTTTTAGGATTCACAAGGACTGTATTCCACTACCAGAGAATGTGTTCAAGAAAGCAATTAGAGACAACTATGATGAAAAGACACACAAGTTTAAGACTGAGCTGACTCTTATGCAGGTACCAAATGACCTCCCTAATTAGTAACTTATTCACTGTTTTCCGAAAATCAGAATTCAATATCTTTGAGCAGGTGGAGAAGTTAACAGAGATGTTTAGACCTACACCATGTCTGTATCCAACTCTCAAACCAGTACTTCAGGATCCTGTGGCTCAGCCAGTTATTCAGCGCTCGGCAGCACCACCTTTATCTGGTTATGAACCTGTCAGGGAGCATGTATATGGAGCGCAATACGGCAGTAGTAAAGCAGGTCAGAATTTCTCACATGATCATGGAAGGCAGCAGTTTGTGGACCATCATGTCATGCCTAGAGAGGTCGCCCGTAATCTGCATTTTCTTACTGAGAAAGAATACAGAAACTATGGTCTTCAACAGGCAAAACATGTGCAGCCCTGTACTTCTGCAGTACACGTGACCCACAATTTGGATCATTGTGGATCAGAACAAGGAATACAGCAGCTACTGCGGGCCCCTGCTGGTGCGAGAAGCGATGCAGCTTTTGCACGGAATGAACATGTTCACTCTGATGCTCGTTTTCCAAATGAAAGGGAATACCGTAGTTACGGCCTCAATAGTCTCCATGGGCAACCTGGTACTGTTACCCCTGCTGCAGAAAGTAGAAATAGAATGTCTGCAGCTGCCAATCATAGTTTACTAAAAAATGTAAATCCTTACGACGAGGATACCACCTCACTTGTGAACCGGTATCTTTCTCTTCCAAGGACAATGATAACACCTGGAGAGTTGCCTTTGACAGGCAGAGAGTCATTTGCTAGTGCTTCCAACTATGTGAGTGACATCAGAGGCCATCCAGGAAGATTGCCTGCTGAAAATGTAAGATTTTATGCACCAAGTAGTCCTAATGCACTATCAGGTTATGGCCACATATATCAGCATCCTAGAGATGAACCTGGAAGATCATTGTCAGGCTTACGTCAGTATCCTTTTGCTGGCCCACCTGCATCACGTCGCTGAAAGTATGCTGCAAAGTATATCCATTCCTGTATGATACCCATTGTGGCTCCAATGGATTCCAGAATCCAAAATATTACTCTATTTTATTTCACATTTCCTTCCTGTACATGTTGGAAAACAGTCCTGATGGTTTCGCTGGATGCTTCGGCCTCAGTTATTCAGACAGCTTGATGTACCTATAGTAAGGTCCTGCTGAAATCTGCAACTACGATGGGCAGTTGTGTGTGCCGATGCTACAGCTGCTTAGTTTGTGAAGGTCTAGCCAGGATAGTCGAGATTTGCAAGATGTTGTCTCGGTCTATCTCTAGTACTCTCTCGTGAGACCATCTTATGGCACCCCATGTAACAGAGATGCATATCACGCCCATTGTGGAAGAGGTGCATCTCCATCTAAATGGCAATGATGAGCCAAGACATTGATCTTTGGTTCAAATTTTCCTGTTTTATTTTTTATTTTTCGGTTTCATATGTACAATATTTTCTGTTTCTACATAGATTATCTGATGTTTCCTCAAGATAAAGTTGATGCATCCCAAAAGGCAATCTTTGCCTGAACACACAACTGTGATAGTGCAACTTTTATACGAAAGATTAAGTCTCTGTTGTTTAACTGCTCAAGGGACAAAAAAAAAAAGGCTCTTGTTGCTGCTTACTCCATTGTAGGTTGTTTTTTTTATGTTTGACATGAGTTGCAACTTATTTGTGAACAGTACAATAGGGTGCATACTTTTATTTACATAGAAGTTGAGGGAGAAAGAAAAAAAAGTTCCTGACAAAGAAACTATTAGTAATGTTACATCGAAAAGTGTATTATACTCATTATGTCAATGTTAGTAGAAAGTGTGGTAAATGCTATGACTAGGGATTTACTTTGGAGAATTACAAGGTACAGACATTTTCATAAAACTCAAGGAGGAAGATATAAATTTTCGACGAAAAAAACTACTAGTAATGCAACATTGAAAAGTGTATTACACTCAATATCATAACAACAAAAAATATTAGAAATTATTTGATTTGAATACAAATTATGATTAGATGAGTTTTTGGGAAATTAATATAATGAGATAAGTTGTGCTAATATTATTTCTCATTGAGTGATTGATTTGTTGTATTCAAATTAATATGTATTGCATAAACTTTATGAAAAAAATACTCTTCATGAATGTGAAGAGTTCAAAGAAATAAATTTGTCATTTACTTATTTTATTTTGAAATAATCATCCCAAGATTTACTATACCACCCAAAAGGGAGGAATAACTTATTCAGTTAGTCATTACTAAATTATTAATTCCGAAATAAAGTTATCTTGGACTTGCCTACCAAATAACAAATTAATAATTTAATCCCATGATGTTATCCTTCTCACTAAACAACCCCTAAGGCTTTAGAGTTCAAAATAGTTTCACTGAACTAAATAAATACCATACAAACATTTCAAAGGTACAATCAATGTTGCTTAGCCAAAAACCTTCCCCGAGTAAATGAATTTGTCTCTCTCTTCCCTGACCAGTTTCTTTCCCAGAAATAAACCTTACATCTAACCATATCATGGATTTCTAGCAGTTAACATCACAACAAAGAAAAGAAAACATGTTGAAGCCAGGATCAAGAATAGCTTCAGGACGGTAGCATCTGGATTTTATGTACATAGACTGGCCTATTGGTTAGAGTCGGCAGCTTGAGCGTTGGTACTGGAATTATCAACTCCTCCGGTTGTTGGCACAGTGGTACTTCCTTGATACACGGGAGGTGGTGCAAACATTGGAGGGCCACCAGTAGGAGCAGGCATTCCCATACTTCCTGGAACTGCACTTGGTGGACCGGCAGGTCTTTGCATATTATTGACTTGACCAGGCATAGGAGCACCGGGAGGTGCCAACATCTGAGGCATTGGTGGAGGTGCATAACCTGGAACCATTGAAAGACACTCCAGTTTTTAAAGGTCTATAATCCAAATACTATAATTAGGATGCAAACTTCCAAAACTACAGCATGACACGATTTCTCTCTGGCATTCAAACAAGAAGAATACAAAATGGCTTGAGAAACAAATACGTAGATAGTATCATATGCAACTTCAAATTATTATGAGCTAAAGGGAGTTCAACTGCATTAGTGAATTCTATGCTTAAAAGGGAAATGTCAAACAAAACTAGCTTGTACATCCTCCCAAAACAATGTGCAGTAGTTGCAGAATACAAATTATCGCATCACGCTCACATAGAGGTTGGCTGTTCAGGGGGGTTGCCAGTTTGCAGAAAAATAGTCAAGTATCAATAAAATTATCCAAAGATGCAGAGGTTTTCATATAAACAACCCCCCCCCCCTTCCCCAACACACACAAAAAAAAACACAACTAATTAAGGACTGAAATTAGTTGATTAATGTATCCCACAATGCATTCCAGAACCTAGGCTATTGGAACGCTCAAAGCTGGATGCAAAAGCATAGTAACTAATTTCATTTCTTGACGAACCAATTGTGGTTGTTCAAAACTAGAGTAGTCTCACAGGACACAGATGAAACTTGTATTCTTTCACCACATATGTCCTTGATTCCCACTCAAAGGGAACATTAAATATTTTATGGTGACCTACGGCTTCTATAGATTTTAACAAATCCTTATGATTTGAACCCTTGAGACTAGACAACCGTTGTTTCCTAACAGATCTATTGCAAATTGTTCTTTTCTTTTCCCTTTATTTGATAAGACCTATTGCCAAATTGTTTCGATCAATTATTAAGGACTCAATCCTAAGCTATCAGTATTGGTTATACAAATCCTTTATATCTATTCCGCGCTATTGAGGGTGCATTTCATTCTAATAATAGTAAACAGATATGTAATTTCAATGATGGGATAAACCTACTTGATCAAAATATAGAGCAGCTGATGAGAACTCAACCTACATCTTCTGAGAAGGAACTCTAATGCCAAGTTCACATAAAAAAATTCCAAACTACAAACAAGAACGACATTCCATTTTGGATAGCAAATAGTGATAACACAGGGATTTACTCCTTCCTATGGGAGCTTATTTGTTGTAAAATCTTTGAACCTACATATGTACACAAACAGACAATCTAGGAGTCAACCAGAGGAGGGGATGGGATTTGAAGTTTATAGGTTCTAAATTCTAATCTTTTCAAGTTACTGGGTTCTAAATTAATAATTTGTACATATTCAATAACTTTTAACTAAATAGCGAGTTTCAACTAAAGCTACTGGGTTCAGTTGAAACCGCAGCCAACACTCTCCCTCCGCCGCTGATGTCAACTAAAAAACAAAAATTAGATTGGAAATCCTTGCATAGTCGACAATCATCTTCAAGGTTTGGTGGAGGACCTAATATAAAACAACTATCTTCAAGAGGTATATAAAAGAACAAGGTACTCATAAGAGTTCACAATGCTACTGATACCTGGAAGACCGGGCATGGGCCTAGGAAGCACCGGAGGCCGCATACCAGGGACCCATTGGGCACCAGCTGGCATTTGAGGGTTGCCGGGCATCTGCATTGGAGGAGTTGGAAGACCAGGAAGACCAGGCCTTAGCTGAGGAAAAGGAAGGCCAACTGGTCTAAAGGCCCCTAGATGTTCCTTGACTTTTTGATCAATTAGACTTTGATTCAGTTGTGCCTCAAATTGTTGATAATAAGTTCGAACATTTCCCTGAAAGTATAATTTGTAAGACTTGTTCAAAGTGATAAGCCTAATCTCAGAGGAAATGGAAAGAATACCTTGTGTTTGTACCCTGCATTATGCTGCTTTCTAACAGAAGGCTGAAAATAGCAAGACAGTACTGTTGTCAATTGCAGGTACAGCATAATGGATTTTAACACATAACTATTGTTTTTTTTCTGAAAAGCTCCAACGAGGAGTCATGGACACAAGAAACCTGCAATCAACTCAAATGTACTTCTACAAAAGGATTACATTTAGAATAGGTTAGTGTATTCTTTAAACCTTTTCCCAAGAAATGTTTTTATTTCATAGTTTGGTTGCTCGGAATGTTCTCCTAAGAGAATTTCTCAACTCTTCTTATCTCAATTTACTTGTTTCAACCAATATGTAAACACTATTATCAACCTTTCAACAAAAACAACTATGAGTGCACTTAAAGGCAGTGTCAGCTATATGGATCATCACTGACCATGTCACACCATTTAAGCTCATTTCAGGCCAATATGATACAAAAAAATAAATTTAAAAAATAAAAGTTACTAAAAGTTCTCTGTAATTTTCTACTGGAACATAATCTGTTAAGACTAAAACACACCTAGAAAGTATAGGACTTGAGTAATCCTACTAGCATGACATATTGCCAACTAATAGATATCATCTATATAAGATATTTTTTCCATCCACTGTATCCTAATTTCACTAAGCCTACATGGATTCTAAGAGATTGTACGTTTTCCAGGTACTGTTATCTATTGTCAACCTTTAATATTGGAAGTTATGCAATCCAACATAATCTAGCAGGACGTGAGTTGAGATACATGAGGCCTCAGGTTCAAATCCCAGCAAAGACAAAAATACTAGGTGATTTCTCTCATTTGTCCAAACATTGGTGGATGGAGTTACCTATTACTTATGTTGTGCTAGTGTTAGATCTCATCCAGACACTTAACAATCTTCAGGTTAAACTTTCTCAAAGAAAATATTTCAGGTGAATAAAATCTTACATAGAAGGCACCATAAAGATTAAGTGATTAAAGAACTTAATGTTATGTGTGACCTAATTAAGCTCAATAAAAGCAGCACTTAGCAAATCAAGTGCAGGGGGGGGACAAACGCAACTAAGCCTTGAGCTAGGATTTCAATTTTATGGGTTCTGCTATTTAGAAACAACCATTTAATGATTTTAAACACAAAAACATTGTTTGAACAAAAGCTATTGGGTCTGGCCAAACTCGTACTCGAGCTTCTAGACCGCGTGCCCAATCCAATATCCAACAACGCATACAAAATTCCTGCGTTGAAATCAGAGATTCTTGAAGGATGATTTGAGGTAACTTACAGAATCATGTGTCAAGTAAGTATCACAGTAGTCACAGTAATACCTGAGGAGGAGAAAGAGGGTGAGAATCAATTAGGGAAAATCGAAGAAATTTTACAAAATATAATCAAATTCATTGGATTAAACATACCGAGGCATTCTGTACACACAAAAGAGTAGAACACCCTGCAAGAAAAAAAAAATGAAACTCTTGAAGACCCCAACAACAACAACAACAAGATACAATCTTACCCCTACCTTGAGAGGTATCAAGGTTGTTCCGATAGACCCTCAGCTTAGGGAAAAGCAGTTCAAAATAGAAATAACGAAAGTGAATAACCCATGACAAAATACTTAAGAAACTATGACAAAGCAGTCTAAAAAAGGAACAGTAGCTACAACAAAATAATACGATAACAGAATTACGAGAAACAACACATATTAACAGACATCAAAGGATCAGAAACTACAAGAGCAATAAAACAACTAACTAGTATGGAATAAAAAACAAGACAACACGCAACAATGTACTAACCTTCTATCCTAATCCATGCCCACCATAACCTCCTAGTTTGAGCAAAGTTTTTTTCTTTCGATTGTAAATATTTCCCTTGGTAATACAAATACATCCACTTACCCAAATTTCAAAAAAGAACTATCAAATTTGCAACAGTTACAAACTTAACTCCATCTTGATCATCTGAAATATTTAATTATACAACTCAAAATTTGACACTTCAACCCAGAAATTAAGCACAAATAGCAAATATTACTACAGTTCACTTCCTTTTTCTTTTTTTTGGGTCAGTGGCCACGGGTGGCTCAACCCTAAAGCTACTAAAGCAATGGCAGGCTTCCAAAGAAGCAAAAAAAAACCCAAATTTAGTTACGAAAACATACAGAAAGAAACAAATTATAGCAAACTCCTAAACACAAACTCGTACAGATTAACAACAACTATTCCTTCAGTTTCCATGGCAAACAATCAAATTCTCATATGCCAAAAATAGAGTATGATTTACAAAGGCGGCTCAACCCTAACCCTAAAAATCCCCCCAAATTCAGTTACGAAAACATACCGAAGATGAACAAATTCCAGCAACAGCACTGAGCTACACTACACATACATAAAAGAGAATCAGATCTGATGAATTAAAACAAAATACCTACCTAAGTATGAATATTAAAAAAGTTTAGTTCTTTTTTAATTGTCACGTATACTATAAATATTTGTTTCAAAATATGTATTCATTATACTCAAGGAAAATTTTATTTTACTAGTGATATTAAATATTATATGTGATCTAACATATTTTTTAAAAAATTAAATTTAATAAAGTTAAAGAATAATATAGTTATAATTTCTATTATTTATTTATAATATTTCGTAAGAGTTATACCAAGTTAATTTTAAATAACTATTATTGAATATAAGGAGTAATTATTAAAAAAAAAAAGGAGGAGGGAGTATTCATTTAAATATTTTTTAATTGTTTGTTGTTAGTTTCTTACTAATTATTATGTACATATTTTTAAAATTTTGTTGTTGATGTAATTATATTTAAAAATTACATATAATTAAGTTCGTAGTTACTTTTTATTTTCTTAATTTATCTAATTTACTTCAATTTGAATTAGTTAATATTAGTTTTGTAAGATATATTGTCTTCAATTCTTTAAAATGTTTTAAACTCAAACTAATTAAATTATCTTTTTCTAAATTTTGATTTTAGGTCATTCATTTTTGAGTTGTCTTTGTCACCAAATTATCGGTTAACTATAATTTAATTTTGAACTAGTTAAAATTTATTATATGAATCTATAATCTTTCCCTTCATTTCAGGCTAATGAATATGAGAAATATTGTGATTAAAAAAATATATATAGCAAATCTTAAATGACATTTAACAAATGTAATTGGACAAATGCAAAGAGAATTGTAAATTAAATTTCAGTTTTGTAGGAATATATATTATAATATGAGTTGAAATAATAATAAGAAAATTTTAGTAGAATATCTTCACAATTTCTGAAGAGTGGTTCACTAATAAATTGAGGGATAAGTCATTCGACTTATTCACATCTAAATGATGAATGTTTGAAATTCATATTATGTAAGGAGGCATTATTTTTGCTCATTCGAGTTTAAGGGTGATATAAAATCGGTCTTTCCATCCCCCTCTCCCCCTCCCCACTCCCCCTTTTAATAAATAAGCCTCACAGGCCCTTTCTAATAAGGATGAAAATGAAATAATCTGATTTCTAAGATAAATTCAGTCCGATGGTTGTTTTCCACTAATGTTAAGGAACTAGGGGCTCTTTATTTCATTTTTGGTGCCATTACTGGAGTGATGGACACATACTTCTCACTATTGATTCGTACGGAATTAGCATGATCCAACGATCAAATTTGGCTCAAGTAGATGCTCGTTTTCTTATATGAAACTTTTGTCTCCGACTATTGGTTATGTCAATTTCGTACCAACGCAAGATATGTTTATTGGACTCTATGTATTAACGGGTGAAAATCATTGAGGTATTTATTTAAACAGATATAATCCATGTAATCGCAAAAACTATCCAAATCAAAAAAGAAGTGTCACTAGTTACTATAAGTATAAATCCATATACATAACAAATTAAAGCTTTTTTCTCGCCCAATCTAGGAGTAAAATGAGAGAAAAATAAGAACTTACAAACTTGAATTCAAAGATCACCTTAAAAAATAGATTATCGGAGAAAGAAAATGGAGCGAAACTACAATCAAAAGAGAAGCTAATTTTTCTGTTTATAAGTTGAGCTCTAAAAAGAGCTAAAGTTCAATTTGCGAACATATTATGAATATTCAAGTTTGTCCATAAAATAACAAAAATATCTCTTTGCTTTCTTAAATATTATCAAATTTTGATTATTAAATTCAATAAAACTATAGTTTAATCTTGTGACATGTATTTGTTGAATACCTTTTGCCACTTGATTTGAATTTTTTCCACATGTTAAGAAAAGGGATAATTGTATACAATAGCAAATTAATAATTTAAAATAAATTGAGTAGCTACTGTTTGATTTAATTGTGCCTCATAGCAAACGTTTGCCAGCCGTCTCTCTCCCTAAACTCTCGCTCGTCACTCTCCCTCTGCTTGCCTCTCTCGATTTATACAACAGAAGTGTATAACTTGTGTTTCTGTATTGTATAAAGCAAGAGAAAATTGTATATACACATGCAAAAACATATATTTTCATGCTATACACTTAATTATACAAATTTACAAACATTTTACTTCGATTATTGTATACAAATGCAAATTTTATACAAATATTGCAGCTAAAAAGGCCAGCGAATTATACAACTGTGAATTATACAATTGCAGTAAAATACAATTTTCTCTCGCTTTATACAACAGAAGTGTACAAATTATGTTTCTGTTTTTATATAAAGCGAGAGAAAAACATATATCGTCTTCCTATACACTTATAATTATACAATGTACAAACATTTTACTTCGATTCAACTGTATACAAAGCAAATTTTATACAGATATTGCTGCGAAATAAGCCATCGAATTATACAATTGCAGCGAAATAGGCTTGCGAATTATACAATTACAGCGAAATAGGTCACCGAATTATACAATTGCAGCGAAATAGGCCAGCGAATTATACAATTTAGGCCAGCAAATCATATAATTATATATGTATAGCGAGGCCAGCGAATTATACAATTTAGACCAGCGAATCATATAATTGTATGCATATAGCGAATTACACAGTTATATATTTGCTATAGAGCACAATTATGCAAACTTTGTATAGCATATAAATATGAATTTTTTATTTGGTATATGTGAAAGTTGCCCTTAAGAAAATTACTTAAATCACATAAAGAATTTCCTTATATTCAATTATAAGACTTTAAAAAATGATTTGATCTTGTGAACTGTGTAGTTCTTATATACATCTCGCCACTTGATTAGAATTTTTCCACATATCAAAAAGATAAAAAAAAAGATTGTTATTTTAAATTTTATACGATATAACAAAAGAAAAATGATATACACTTTAATGTCATTTAAGTATATTGTAGCGTGCATTTCATATATATTACATGTGCTTTATAATCACAAAAATTGAGAGGGGAGTAAATGATGTGATTTATAATAAGTGATCTTAAAAAATTATTTTTATATATATATAAAAAAAAGTGTACGCTTTTGATAAACCATAGAGAATAACATAAATGTTCGATTGTCTAGTGGTAATAGAAATATTTTCATCATAAAAAAATGTGATACAACAGATAGTTCTATTCCTCTCTTAAATACAATTTTGATTTCGATTCTAATATTAAAAAAATGAGTAAAAGTACTTTATCAAATGCATTTTGAACATTGCTTATCGAACGCATTTTGAACATCGTGTATTTAAATTAATTGAACTCAAATAAATATATATATAAAAAAAGTGAAAATATTGTTTAAAATTATGTGTAGACAAAACTATAAAGAGAGGGTGTGTGATACATAGAGGATATTTTTTCTTGTTCATATTCATTGTACATAGCTTTGTCCACAAGAACAAGCAACTTCTTTTTTTCTTGGAAAGTTAGATACATTCAACCAAAATGCCAAAGCTATTTCTTTACTATTTCTTCTCTCCTACAAACAATAAATTTAATTATTTAGTGAGTCAAACATTTTTTAAAAAAAAATTATAACGATAATAATATATTCGGTATAATATTATAAGTGAAGTCTCAAAAAGATAGACTGCATTTATATTTTATCTTTAATTAAAAAAAGATAAAGTAATTATTAAATAAGAACTTTGATCCAGTAAAAAAAACAACTAGAAAAACATAGTTTGATAATCAAATTTATGATAAATTTAATTTAATTATAGTAACGCGACATCTTCTGATATCAAATATAAATAAATGCCAAACGAATCTACTTATCTTTTTATTTGTTTGTTTGTTTTCATAGTATGAAATAAAAATAAAATGGAAGAATAACGTTAGAGAATATATGGTTGCTTCCACTTTTCATCTTTTTGTTTTTATTTTTTCTTTCATAGTGTGAAAGGAAAATATTGGAAGAATATAATGCATTCAGTTATTCGAAAATAAGTAAAAAGATGTTGTTTAAAATTATGCATAATATTAAAGGAAGATCGTATATATAATTATATTTACAATTTTGTGTGATTTATTACTGATTCAAACTTTAAAATTAATGCACAACCAAGATTTATGTCTATAAATAAAAGCTATTTTTGTGGAAATTAGGTATTAAGCTTAACTCACACCCCAAAAGCTAGCTCAAAGGGAGGAGCATTATGAGACTTTTGTCATTCTTTAACACGGGCGTGCTTAGCATCTAGTGCTTTGATTTTGGGGCCCTAACATCAAGTGAGATGGACCTGCTCTGATATCATGTGAAAATTAGATCTTAGGCTAACTCACACCCCAAAAACTAGCTCAAAGAGAGGGGTATTGTCCAAGTCTTATAAAGAATCCACATATCTCAGTAACCATCGAGAGACTTTTGTCATTCTTTAACAATTTTTACCTTATATTTTTAAAAATATGCAACACGTTTTCAAACTTTATCTCTAAATACAAAATATTTCTTTTCAACTTTTTTGAAAATTTTGATTAATTAAAAAAGATATTATAATGTATTAAAATTAAACTATAATATGTCATATGAAATCATCATTTCACACCTTATTATTATAATATTATATAGTAGTATAAAGCCACAAGAAATCCAATGTATATCCCAAGAAGGTGCATGGAAAAAGACAAAAAAATAATAATCTATATAATAAGGACATGACAAAATGACAAAATTTATAAAAAATAAAATAAACAGATGGAGAGAAGAGAAGAAAGTGGAAGTCACTTGTACTTATTGTGTATTTATGTGGTGTGAAAAATAGAAATACATGTGTTTAATAATTATTGGTAGTATATTAATAGTATTATTTAGTTTTAATGCATATTGAAGACTAAAATGTAATTAGTCAAAATTAGAAAAGATTATTAATTATATACTCCTTGCTTTGTTTTTTTAATTTATGGAACTTTATTTGATTAAACCATGTAATTTAAGAAGAAAATAGAGACTTTTAGAAATTACAACTTAAAA